GCCTCGGCCCCCTGGAGGTGACTGCCCGCCCGAGGCTCACCCGGTGCTTCATCTTGGGCTGGCTGCCCATCAGGTTACCCTGACCAGCCAGGGGTCTCTAACACCACCAAGCACCAAGACCCCAGGGTCTCCCGAAGGCTAGGGCAGTGACTCCAAGATAGCATCTGGCTGGCTGGGGTCACACAACTTCAGCAGCTTGAGGGAGGCTGAGGCAGGAGAACTTCAAGCTTGAATCCTGCCTGAGCTACTTAAGACTTGGTCTCAGAAAGGAGTGTGGTGGGATGTGATACAGCACTACTGGCTTTGAGCCCCAGTACTGGGAGGCACCCCAGAACAACTTGCTGTGGGGGGTGGACTCTGGTACCCAGATGGACCCCTAGGGGACTCGAGGGGAGGCTCTGGGCTACCACCAAGACTGGGCTGATGAAGGGGAGTGAGGCCCCAGCGGGAGTCTGTTGTTTGACTCCCCATAGGAATAGAGGCAGACACAGGGGCCTCCAGCCTGGCAGTTGAAGGGGAGCCCAGCTGTTTCCTTCAAGGCTCTGAGAGGCCAGAGAACCTCGGGATCCCCCAGCCATGAAGCCCCGTCTAATGCGGGCCTCCCTGACTGACCTCTCTCCTGCAGAGCACCTGGTAAATGGCCGGATGGACTTTGCCTACCCTGGCAGTGCAAACTCCCTGCACAGGATGACAGCAGCCAATGCTGCCTATGGCACCCACCTGAGCCCACATCTGTCCCACCGCATACTGAGCACATCCTCCACCCTCACTCGGGACTACCACTCACTGACCCGCACTGGACACTCCCGCTCTGGCACGCTGCCCCGGGACTACTCTACCCTCACGTCCCTGTCTTCCCAGGGTGAGTGACTTCCGGCAACCTCACTTCACCCACCCCTTCCTCCCTTCCAGCTCCCGGCCTGCCACCTCCACTGCCCACCTCCAACATACACGGGTACAGGTGAACTCCATGCCCCTCTCACATTTCTTTTGTCCTGCCTTAGGCCTCCCTCCCATTTGGGAAGACGGGAGGAGGAGGCTTCCGCTGTCCTGGGCCCTGGGGTCCCAGAGTTGGGCTCAGATGAAGGGGGGCTCTCCAGACTCCATTATCCTGGCTGGGCAGTCAACAGCGCCCTCCTGGGGCCCAGGTAGTATAGGGGTGGTCATCGGGCCATGCTGTCCTCCATCGTGCTCCACGTCACCTGGCCACCCATCACAGCCAGCCCAGCCACCGCCTCAGCCTCACTCCTTTCACAGGCATACTGCCCACCCCCAGGAGCTAACCACTGCCCACCCTCATCAGCGCTGATGCCTAACACCGCCTCTGCCCGGCCGGGGTGCAGGGCCAGCCAGCAGATGGGGTGGGAGCTGGGGACGGCAGGCCCTCAGGGCTCACCCTCTTGGCACAGGCCAGGCCCACTCCACTCTGAGGACCTGTGGGAGGTGCTAGGCAGCCTGGACAGGGTGTTGCAGGGTGGGTGAGCAGCCTGGCCAGCAGTCCTCCTATAGACCAGCCAGCTGAGCAAGGGAGGCTAGGGGCACAGCTGTCTCCACCGAGACCCCAGCACCTGCCCCTCGGACTGACTGCACCCTCCTGTCTCCAGACTCCCGTGGGGCTGTGGGTGTGCCCGACACTCCCACCCGCTTGGTGTTCTCAGCCCTGGGGCCCACATCTCTGAAAGTGAGCTGGCAGGAGCCACAGTGTGAGCGTGTGCTGCTAGGTTACAGCGTGGAATACCAGCTGCTGAATGGCGGTGAGCACCCACACGTTGCCCTTTATTTTTATTTATTTATTTAGGGACAGGGATCTCGCTATGTAGTCCAGACTGACTTTGAACTCAAAGCAGTTCTCCTGCCTCAGCCTCCTGAGCACTGGGATTACAGGAGTGTGCCATCGTGCCTGGCTATTGTCTCCTCTCTTCTGAGCCTCATCTATCTCTGGGCTTCGCCTTACGGACCCAGGGCTGACTGGGTGGCCTTTTAGAACTGGGAAGTAGCATATACCTGGGAAGACACATCTGAAATGTCATAACCTGGCCCGAGGGGAGGGGTGGTAGGGGAGCTGCTGTACTGTCTGCTCTCACCTCACCTCCCAGGTGAGCTGCATCGACTCAACATCCCCAACCCTGGCCAAACTTCAGTGGTGGTGGAAGACCTCCTGCCCAACCACTCATACGTGTTCCGAGTGCGGGCCCAGAGCCAGGAGGGCTGGGGCCGGGAACGCGAGGGTGTCATCACCATCGAGTCACAGGTTCACCCACAGAGCCCACTCTGTCCTCTGCCAGGTGAGCAGTCTCTCCCCACAGTGGCACCACCGTGCCCACCAAGCATCCCCACACTGATGTCCTCCTTCTGCCGCCACCAGGCTCCGCCTTCACCCTGAGCACCCCCAGTGCCCCAGGCCCACTGGTGTTCACTGCCCTGAGCCCTGACTCACTGCAGCTGAGCTGGGAACGGCCACGGAGGCCCAATGGAGCTATCCTGGGCTACCTGGTGACCTGTGAGCTGGCTCAAGGAGGAGGTACTGCCTGCCCTGGGACCAGGGGTGGCCACGTGAGGGCTGGAGAAGGGGACACCAGGGCTGAAGGCATCTTCCCTGTGCAGGACCAGCCACCACATTCCGGGTGGATGGAGACAATCTGGAAAGCCGGCTGACGGTGCCTGACCTCAGTGAGAATGTGCCCTACAAGTTCAAGGTGCAGGCCAGGACCACTGAGGGCTTCGGGCCAGAGCGAGAGGGCATCATCACCATTGAGTCCCAGGATGGAGGTAGGGTGCCCCCCTTTGGCTCTCCCACTGTTTCTGGCCATGCCTTCTGCCATCCCCTGACTGGCCAACATGCCTGCTCCAGGTCCCTTCCCACAATTGGGTGGCCACCCTGGCCTCTTCCAGCCCCCACTGCAAGGCGAGTACAGCAGCATCACCACCACCCACAGCAGCAGCACCGAGCCCTTCCTAGTGGGTGAGTCACAGAGACAGGGGATCCTGGCTCCAGAGGGCACCAAAATGGGCAGGGACGCAGGCGGGATCCTCTCAACCGCTTCCCCTGCAGATGGACTGACCCTGGGGTCCCAGCACCTGGAGGTAGGCGGTTCCCTCACCCGGCACATGACCCAGGAGTTTGTGAGCCGCACGCTGACCACCAGTGGAACTCTCAGCACCCAGGAACAACAGTTCTTCCAGACCTGACCCCCAAGCCCAGCAACGTCTGGAAACCGGGGCCCTTGCTGCCTTCCCACCCCTGCCCGCCTTCTCAGCTGCAACATCCTCAAGACCCAGGGGCCCAGCCCTGTGCATGCTAACCTCAGAGCAGGGGTAGATGTTCTCTGAGAAGCATGAAACGGCAGGGGTCCCAGAAGACTCATCAGGCTGCCCCTCCTGACCCCCGGCCCAGACCCAGTTGTAACCAAAGAGCTCCGACCAGCATTTGTTCTGCACTTAATAAAACATTTTGCTACTGCCTGGCTCTGTCCTGTCCATTCTGCAAGGTGCCAGCCCAGGGGAGAAAGCAGTTCTGACAATCTGCTTCTCTGCCCCTGAGCACACACCCACCTCTGGAGAAAGGCAGGTTCCAGGTCAGAGGCACAAGTTTATTGAGCACCCAGAGGCAGAGCGGAATAGCCTGCTGCACCAGCTGAGCCATCCCGAGCCATCACAAGTGGAGCACCTTGGCTCCATCCGCGGCCTGAGAGAGGTAGAAGGTGGCGGTCCCGCTGTACTGCTCCTGGGGGCCAGGAAGGACAGTCTGAGTAGGAAACAGTGCCCCGAACCTCCTGCCCTCCCTGGCTCTGGTGCCCACCCACCTGTATGTGCTGCATGGCACGGGAAGCAGCAGAAGCCTCCAGCAGGGTCACCGTGCAGCCACCAAAGCCACCACCCGTCATGCGACTGCCATAAACCCCAGGGACAGACAGCACAGCTTCAACCAGTTGGTCCAGCTCAGGGCAGCTCACCTCGTAGTCGTCCCTGAAGAGAGGACGTGGGAGGATGGGCTTGGGACCCACCTGTGCCTGGGAGGTGCAGGGCGCCCCAGGGCCTCACCTGAGTGAGTGGTGACTCTCCACCATGAGGCGACCAAAGGTTCTATAGTCCCCTCGGCTCAGAGCAGCTGCTGCCTGGGCTGTGCGCTGGATCTCACCCACCACGTGCCGTGCCCGCCGGAAGCCCTCCTTGCTCACCAGCTCTCTGCCCGCTGGGGAGGAACAGGGGTCAGCAGCCCTGTCTGCCACTGCATGTGGGCCTGGGGATGTGGGCAGTAGCCCTGGCGGGGTTAGTGGACAGCTAGTACCACAGCCCTGTGAGGGACAGGGGACCTCAGGCCTAGTTCTAAACAACTTCCTCCTCTCCAGAGCCTCCCTTCCCCCTGTATAAATGGGACACCTGCATCACTGTGGGATCAGGGGGTACTGCAGGGGACAATGTACAGGGCTCCCCATGGGAGGCTGGCACAGCGGTGCTCCAGGAGCAGCAGTGTAAGAAACCCTCAGCTCATGGACACATGAGCAGAAATAGTACAACCCTCAAGAGGCCATAAAAGTGCAATCTTAGAGGAGTTTGAGCAGAGCTGGAGGTACAACTCATCAGTAGAGTGCTTGCCTGACATGTATAAAGTCCTGGGTTTGATCCCCAATACCACATACAAAAAAAGAGATTTCAAGGCGCTCTGCTGAGATCAGAGCCCTAAGTTTGTAATATTTGGGGGAAAGTGGGGAGAGCATGGGGAATGGCCCTGGATCTCAGGGCATAGGCAGCAGGGTTAAGGTCACAGAAGACCCAGCAGGGAGTCCAATCATCTCCAGCACAGAGTCCACTCTTACCCTCGAGCTCCTCCAGCCGCACCTCCCGAAGGCTCTCCTTGCCCAGTGCCCGGGACACCTCTTCACACTGGCGCCGACGCAGCGGGTACTCGCTGGAGCCCAGGGAGTGGCGAACATTGGAGTTAGTGATGAGCACGGCCAGCTTGGGGTCTGACAGTGGCACCAGGCTTGTCTCCAGGGACCTGGGGTGGAGTGAAGTTGGGCAGATGACAGGGCCAAGGGTCTGCTTGCCAGGCCAGGTGGTGGGCACACTCCACCCCGGAGCTCCTGATCACGAGATGGGAGGGTACAAGGGGAACCCCTGACCTGCAGTCAATGAGCAGCGCGTGGCCTTTCTGCCCCAGCAGAGCGATGAGCTGGTCCATGATACCACAGGGCACCCCTGCGAAGCTGTGCTCTGCCCGCTGACACACATGGGCCCGGGCAGCTACTGCCCCCGAGTCTGTGGCACAGGGTGAGGTGGGGAAGCTAGGGCCCAGGAGGGGGCACATGGGGTGGCCACGTGGGAGCAGCTGTAGCTCCAGTGACACTCTCCCTCCCTGAGTCAGGATGGGAAGACCTCAAAGACCACAGAGACGTCAGGGAAGGAGGGTAGGTCGGGGGCCGGGCCTAGGTGGTACCTGGGCAGAGCTGCTGGAGAAAGGTGTATGTGGCCACTTCCAGCGATGCGGAGCTGGACAGCCCACCCCCCAGGGGCACTGAGCTGACCACCACTGCACTGAAGCCAGGGAGGGGGGAAGCTGCAGGGGAAAGAATGGTGATGGTAAGCCAGGCTGTGCGGATGGGACCAGGGCGTGTGTCCTGGCAGGCGGGGACCCAACTGGCTGGCAGCTGCTTCTAGGCCACATCTCAACTGTCAGAGGCCACCACCAACCTGCTGGGGCCAAGGAGCCTACCACCCTCCATCCTCCCATCCCTGAAGGGTTCTGGGGCTGTCTTCCTACTTGTCCTCCTGATTTAGGGCTCTAAAGGCCAGCAAGCTGGGGTCGGAATCACTCGTATAGAGAAACAGGCCAAGTTCTGGAAAACCTTCCGGGCATCAGTTCCCTCATCTGTACAATGGGATGCTCCAACCTGCAAGCCTTCCTTCCCCATACAAACTGAGGTCATTCATGGTGGCATCATAAACTGGATCACCCCATACCTGGGTAGTGCTGAATCACCCCCTTGACGTAGTTGGCCCATTGGGGGATCCCGGGCTCCAGTGACCTCTGGGTTGTGGGCAGTGGAAACTGCAGGCGCTGGGGCTCATCAGCATCCTTAGAGGTGGTGAGTAGAGAGACAAGCCCATCTGTTCGGGGGCTGCCCACCAGCACAGTCACAAGCTCCAGTGCCTGGCGGGAGAGACAGAGTATTACACCAGCTGATGGACTAAGCGCCCCCCAAACGATCTCCAGACAAGGTTTTGCTGTTGGAGTTGGACAGGCCCTGGTGGTAAGGAGCTCACATCAAAAGGAATGCAGTGTGGCTCAAATTCTGACCGCCCTCAAGCTAAGGGGCCCTGGGGGCTTGGAGCTTGGAACTCTGGCCCCTGGGTCTTTTGGGGTGGGGCCAGTTGCAGGCAGAAGGCCAACTTGGACTCTGCCCTGCTGTGGGCCGAAGGGGAGAACAAGCTAGCTGGATGGGGAAACAAGACGGGGGAGCCCCACTCCTTTCCATTAAGGGGTGGCCTCAGATGCACTGTAGCCATTCACTTCCCAAGATGCTGGGTGGGGCTGAAAGAACACCCGATTGAGAGCTGGAAAGTAACGCAAGAGGAACCAGCTGTGAAATAGTGAGCGGGTCCTGGCCGCCTGTGGGTCTCTTTCTTCCTTTGTAAACAGACCAGCTGGGACGGAAGGTCTGCGGTTGGCGACTCTACAGAGGCCAAAGGCCCAGAGTGCTACACAGGACCCACATCGTAGGGAAACCCCCTCCCAGGATGAGGGCAAGGATCAGCAGCCCCCACAGGGCGGGCTAGAAACGACAGGAGTCCTCTTCGCACGTGCAAACCGGAGCGTCCCAGGGTCTCCCGCGCGTGCTCGCCTCCCACACTCGGCTCCCCGCCCTTCCCCGCACCGGGTAGGCGACCGCGGGCCCGCCACTCGCCATGGGCAACAC